AGTTTGTGTCTCTCCTCTAAGTTCAGTCCGCTTCATCAACAGCAGCCATGTCTGCACACACACCGCTCCTCTACCACAGTAGTGCTGTCCTCCTCCGTTCTTCTTCGGGGCCTGATGGCGTTTGACAAATCAGCTTACATGTGCATTAATCCCGCCTACTGGACTGGAGTGTGGACAGGAGAAGAGCAGGAAAAACAAGGATAATTATATTCTTTCATCAATCTTATAATTCAATAGTATAATTTGCCATTTACTGCTAAAATTGTCATTTGTGCTGCTTCTGTTTTAAATATATTAATGAAAATGTAAAGGTCAAAAGGTCAACCAGCCCCCTCCCACATTACCCAAATCAAACTAAATTGATGTCAAACATTTGTGCTGCAAAATATTTTGTTTGTGCTGCTATCATTTAAAATATATTACTAAAATAAGGTCTTGATGCGTGCTTAATGATCCAGGTAAGTAAATCTCAAAAGGTTGATTCTGTTCACCAGACAGCTGGGCAAGTATATCGCTGACCTGTTGAAACCTCATGCTTCATCCCGAGCACGTAGTTCTTCAGGGCAGAAGTTACTGTTGCTCCCACGTACTAGGTTCAAAACCCGTGGGGATCAGGCTTTTCAGGCACCAAGGCTGTGGGACTCTCTATCGTTGTCGTTACGCTGCCAAGACTCCACTACAAACGAGCTTATATTCAGTAAAAGGACTAGATGTTGTAGTCCCTGATAATGCTTCTGATTAAATTTAATCTAATTGTGAAGCACTTTGTGATTTTTATCTGTGAAAAGTGATATATAAATACATTTTATTTACTTACTTGATGTCTTTTATGTGGCAGCATGTTATAGAGTCGTGTGTGTTTATCTTGCTGAACCACATCCCTACAAACACTCATCAGAGATCCGTTTCTCAGTATTATAACACTCTTCATCTTCCTACAGGCGTATTTATCGCTGTTGTAGCTGAATCTGGTTCCACTCACCGAACGACGACCGTCTGGAGACGATTTTATGATCACTTTAAATCCGTCCTCGTGTCTCGTTGTCACGGTTACACTGCGCTCACTGTCCGTTTCATCCACATCACAGCTTTACTTTCACTCTGCTTGTTGTTCTCCTTTTCCGCTTTGTTTTCTGTTTGTTTGTCTTATTATGTTTATCGTATTTCACCGCTACACCGCTCACCATCCACTTCTATTCTCATTTCACTTCCTGAGACGTCACTTCCCTCTGCAGTCTGCTGTCCATTCACAGCCCGTTAGGTCAACTTAGAGCCCCTCCCCCCCACACTCCTGACTGAGCAGACACCTTTGTTTGTTTGTTTGTTTGGTTTATAAAACTTATAGAGACAGTGTGAACAGGTCCGTACAACAAATCTGCGACATGTTGAAAGACACTTGCTTAACCTTATTATTGATACAATATTTATCACAGGTCCTCCATCATTCTCCTGCTGTATGTCATTAAATAAGGAAGAGCAGCAGTGTTTAGAAGCAGAGACAGTAACATAATTCATTATATTACTAATATTGTTCTTTGAACATTTTTCTTTCACATCATTATCACAAATATATAAAGCTGCGATCTTTTCTTTTCTTTCAGTCTCTCTGCTCATTTTAATGTTTGCTCCAGGTTCATTTGTGTGTAATCATTTTCTCACATATGAATTCAGATCAGACTCACTGAGCTCAACATGAACTTCCTGCGAGCATAAACTAAAATTAGCGCAAAAACAGCAGGAATATTTGAAACATGGTGGATGTGTTGCAGACGAGTAAAAAGCAGAAATATCTGCCTAAATTTTATTGGAGTTTTATTATTTTTATTTTAAACCATAATGTTTGCTGATATCATGCCCCTGTTGTTTGCTCTCATCAATGTTCTGTTTTTAACTGGTTTTCAGATCTGGTCCAGGTAATCTTCATCGAAACATCAGAAACCTTTATTCTAAACTAGGTTTTTTTAAAAGCATCAGATACAGAGTAACTATCTACCATGATTTTAATGAGTCTTCTGGCAACAGATTTGAACTGGGACTGGTTATCTTATGTACTGAGAGAAGAAATCAATACTCACTACAGCTCACTTTTAGATTTTATTTGTTCTCCTCCAAAGTCTGGATTGTAAAATTGAAAAGCCTAAAAGGAAAATTCCTGCCAAATCTTCTGAAATTCAAACAAAGCAGTTCAAGTAGTTATCAAGTAGAAACCTTTCATCTAAAAATGGCTTTAAATGATTTTACTCTTAATACTATAATTGATTGTTAGTAGCACGATTACATAATCATAAAAAATGCCCATAAATGTAAGTACATTTTGAATCATTGCAATATTATTTTCACACATCAATGGACCACTGAACTTCTCAGCTTCTAAAATGTAAAGCCTCATTTAGAAACTACACAAGTACATACAGGGCTCTAGAGTGCGACCAATTTGGTCACAAATGCGACCAAATTTTTCAGTGGTGCGACTAAAAAAAAATATTTGGTTGCACCTGTGCGACCAACTGTTCGGGTAGCAAAAAAACAAAAACAAATCTGCAACCTTTCCTGTGGTCAACAACAGACACACATTATGCCCCTATCGTGGACTAAACCAATCAGAGATAGTCAGGGGCGGGACCTCTCTGATTGGCCGTGGTCCAGTTGAAAGTGCAGGTGGAAGTGGGAGGTGAGTAGCTTGATTAAAGCGATATCAATTCATTAAATCCTGAATCGACTTTTAAATATAACTGTGTTTTGCCAGAAACGCCAGATTCTCAGATTAAAGCTCACAAACCATTTCAACAACAACCAAACAGCAAATGAGAGCAGGTACACGGATTCCACACAAAGACGTAAACACAGAACGGACCCGACGCATCAGAATCAACTTTGTCTTTCTCGGCTTTCTCACCCGACGGCCCGTAGACGGACACGCTGTCGGAGCTTAGCGATTCTGATGCGTCCGGTCCGTGCTGTGATTACGTCTTTTTACGCTGATTCTGAGCTGCAGGTTTTGTTTCTCTCCAACCAAAATTCACCGAGCCAGCAGCTAAAGAAGCAGCAAACTGAGTTTCACGTTTGATCAATGTCGTCATGAATTTTGCTGTTTTGCTTCCATGACTATTAAAATCACACTTCATGCACAGCTAGCTCTCTCTCTATCTCTCTCTGTACTTCAGGAACAGTTTCCTGTCTCCAATCTCTGTTTTCTGTATAATTCATTCACTTATTACCCACCAGTCTACCATTGTTTACAGCGCTGTCGTCTTTTTCTTTTCTTTTTTTCACTTAAATAACCTCGGACAAGAAAGCCTATTTTTTCTGTTGTTCAATACTGAAGAAATTTAAACTTTATATGCAGAACATTGTA